GCCCGGAGCATGCCCGCCCCGGGCGCGGAATCGGGGATCCCGGCGCACCCCCAGCTCGGTCCCCCGCCACCCGCCTGCCGCCGATCCCGGGGCCGCGCGACTTCAAACGCGGCTTCCTCGCCTCCCCGACCTGTCCCCGCCACTGAGCATGCCCAGTCCTGCCCGCCACTGCCACCGACGAGTCTCAACATGGGGAATGAAGTTCTCTGGGCTGGCAAAGAGAAGATGGGTGGGTTGGGCTTTGGATGGCGGAGCGAGCCGAGAGGGGCCTGGGCGACTCCGGCGCGAGAGGAGCGAGCCGCTTCGGGAGGAATGCGGGAGGAAGACAAATATTTGCAGAGGTTTCAGGTTTGCTCATTCTGTCTCCAGTGAGCGAGATACCTTTGCAAGGTCACATTGTCCTCCCCCTTTGTGAGTGTGTGGTTGCGCGCGCGTGTGCATGTGTTTGGTTAAGTGACCAAACTACTCAGAGGCCTGGAGGGAGAGAAGAGAACGATTATTTATAGAAAGGTAGGCAGACTTGGGAGGGAGGGGAGTGAAATTTCTTTGCTGGCACACACACACACACACACACGCAAACACCATGTGGTCTCATGGAGCTGTCTTTTGCGGGGGAAGAAACCTAGGAATACAGCGTAAGGACAGTGAAGGACAAAACCGTAGACAGGATTAACCGGTGCTGGAAGAGGCCAAGTAAACAGGAGCAATTCCATGCTATAAAAAGCGCTTTCCTCACCCAGAAAGGACTTCAAAAGACAATGTCATGTTATTTATAGAGTAAGGAGTTGCCTCTGTTTTAAGGAGGGAGGGCAGCGTCACATGGTCATCAGCCCTGTGAGCTTTGGAATGAGCACCGGGTTCAAATTCTAATTTAGCTACTGAGCAAACCCAGAAAAAGTTATTGCTCAAGGTAACACACCAGGCAATAGGAAACAGGACTGGGCATGCTCCATAAGCAGAACAAATTTGGGTGAGTACCTTCCCAAAGTCACGTCATCCGTTGAGTCCTCAGCTTTCCTATGGTAAGAAAGGGCTGTTGTGAGAAAAAATTTGCCTCAAAGTATCTAGTACAGGCTGGGCATGGTGATTCACGCCTATAATTCCAGCGCTATGGGAAACTGAGATGGGGAGGATCCATCGTTGGAGCCCAGTTCAAGAGGAGTTCAAGATCAGACACCAGCCTGGGCATCATAGTGAGAACTCGTCTCTACAAAAAATAAAAAATATGAGCCAAGAGTGATGTCACGCATCTGTAGTCCTAGCGACTCTGGAGGCTGAGGTGGAAGAATTGCCTGAGTTCAGGAGGTGGAGTTGTAGTGAGCCATGATGGTGCCACTTCACTCCAACCTGGGCAACAGAATAAGATCCTGACTCAAAAAAAGTTATCTGGTACAATTCTGGCACACAGTAAATGCTCAAAACAGTTAGTTATTATTCTTATTACACTGTTGATATTAACAGTTCATCCCTCATTTCTTGTTTTTTTTTTTTTTTTTTTGAGTTGGAGTCTCACTCGGTCGCCCAGACTGGAGTGCAGTGGCGGCTCCCGGCCACCACAGCCTCGCCTGCTGGGCTCCGGCGATCCTTCCGCCTCAGCCTTCTGAGTAGCCGGAATTACAGGCATGCACTACCACGCCCAGCTGATTTTTTGATTTATTGTAGAGATGAGGTCTCGCTGCCCAGGCGGGTCTCGAACCCATGGACTCAGGCAATCCACTCACCTCAGCCTCCCAAAGGCGTGGGATTACAGGCTGAGCCACCAAGCCTGGCTCATCCCTCATTTCAAGTGAGGAAAACAAACCATGCTCATAGCCATGTTTATTGTGTAATAGTCTCCATGATTTGTACTTAATATGTACTCCATGATTTGTACTAAGTCCTGTACAGAGGACTTAGACTGGCAAGTACTGACTGGCCATGGGGTTTCTGGGCCCCCAGGCCTCGGTACGTTCAGTAGTGTCCAGGGTTTGCCCCTCAGACTGGCAATTCCTTCCAGCCACGCATTACCTAGCATCAGAGCTTTAGAACCGTTGGAACCAGTTGAGAAGTCCATTCTTTTTTTGGTTGGTTGGTTTTGTTTTGTTTTTAGTTGAAGTCTCACTCTGTCACCCAGGCTGGAGTGCAGGTAGCACACTCACAGGTACTGTATCCTTCACCTGCTGGGCTCAGGCAAGCCTTCTGCCTCAGCCTTCCTGGTCTCGAACTCCTGGGCTCTGGCAATCCTCTTGCCTCTGCTTCCCAAAGTGCTGGGATTAGCCACTCTTTCACATGAGGAAACTGAGCCACACACAGATGACTGAGGTTAGTAAGAGCAAGATAGGACCAAGTCTTAAATCTCTACTCTCTCTGCTTCCCTGACCTGATACTATTCGAAGACATAGAGGAAAAAAACTGAAGTGGTCTGGCTCCCTCCCTACCTCTCCTGCCTCATCTTGGGCTCCCTGTGCTGCCTTCAGTTCCTCAAACATCTTGCATCTGCTGTTTCTGTTGCCTGCAGTTCTCTTTCCTTAGACCTCTTTGTCTACTAGACTCCAACGCACCCCTCAGATCTCTCTTCAACCTCTCATATCTAGAGAAATCTTGACCGGGCACAGTTGCTCACACCTGTAATCACAGCACTTTGGGAGGCAGAGGCAAGCAGATTGCCTGAGTCCAAGGGTTCGGGACCAGCCTGGGCAACTTGGTGAGACCTTGTCTTTACAATAAATCAAAAAATTATCCGAGTTTGGTGACACATGCCTGTAGTTCCAGCTATCCAGAAGGCTGAGGCAGAAGGATCTCCTGAGCCCAGCCAGTTGAGGCTACAATGGCCATGAGTGTGCCACTGCACTCCAGTCTGGGCAAGAGTGAGACTCCCACTCGAAAAACAGAGAAATCTTTCCCAACCCTTTGGACTATATCAGGTCTTCCTGCTCTGCCCTCTTCCCAGTCCTTACACTTCTTCCGTGACATCTTATCAGTTTGTAACTATACAATGCATTCATTCCCTCATGTGTAAATTGAGATAATAATGGGATATTACTGTGTTGTTACAATGATTAAATGAATTAATATATGTGCAAAATTAAATATTTTCAAACTTAGAGCTGTTGGAATTTTACATTTTTTTGAGACTCGAGAGGAATATGGCTATGCAGCCTGAGTCATGGCATACAGTTGTAATTTCTGCTTTTTTTCCTGTAAATAATTAGGTAGATCAGCTGAGCATGGTGACTTAGGTCTGTAATCAGCACTTTGGGAGGTTGAGGTGAGAGGACCACATTAGCCCAGGAGTTTGAGACCACCCTAGGCAAAATAGCAAGACCTCAGCTCTCCAAAAAATTATATAGGCATGGTGGTGTGTGTTTGCAGTCCCTGCTACTCAGGAGGCTGAGGCAGGAGGATTGCTTGAGCCTAGGACATTGAGAATGTAGTGAGACTTGATCATGCCACTGCATTCCTGGCTGAGCCCCCAAAAATAAAAAAAAGCCAGGTCCGATATCTTACATCTGTAATCCCAGCACTTTGGGAGGCCGAGGAGAGAGGATTGCCTGAGCCCATGGATTTGAGACCAGCCTGGGTGTTGGGAGCCAGCCACGGAGGCCCACTGAGCGTTAGGGATCAGGGAGGGCCATTGACCCCGAGACCACTAGGATGCATTTGGGAGCTGTTGACCCCATTTCCTTCCCCTTTCTACTTAGCACTATAACCAGAAAAAGCTTCTGTAAACTCAAACATAAAAACTCTGAGACTGGGAGGAACACAAGCTAACTTTAGAAGCTCATTGTTCCTGTTCTGCCACAAACTGCGGTTTTGACTTTCACACAACTTACAGTTCAAACTCAGGTCACATCTAAGAGCCTTAGTATTGGTCACAGGCTTCTGGGTCGTGATTTTAGGATTTATTGAAGTTGAGTAAGGTGTAAATTATAGAAGATAATTTTAGAAATATACGTTTAGACAGCCATTTTGTTGAAAGAATGTGGCTAGCTTACTTGC